CAGAGAGTAGAGCAATGAACAATATAGATATAGAGATAAATATTTGTGTATCATCATAGCAATTATTCAACCAAAGTAAAATGAGTTTAGTTTCAATATAAAGAAGTCCTGAGATCAAACTGAGAATAATCTTAAAAAGGAATCATCAAACATGTTTTTGTGCTCAATGGTCTGGATTGAATTTGACAGACTCCTTGTAGATAAGCTCTTTTATGTGTTCTTCCGTGCAAGAAGGATGCTCGAAATCGAAGCTGAAAGGAGTCGAACAGACAGGTTCTTTGGCCACATCGTGGTGCGGTGATAGGTAAGCGTGGCCAAGAGCTTCATCGACTATATACAAAACAGAAGCAAATGCAAACAAACCAAATACAATTGATGATAAGCCAAAACCAAACTGTAAAAAAACCTCATGAATGTTTTAAAGATCTTTGTGTTTCGGTACCTGAGATGCGTCGGTTTGGATCAAAGATGAGCATTCTCTCAAGCAAATCGATAGCGGTAGGAGGCATTTTCGGGAATCTAGCAGCAAACTGTTGTTTCGGGTATCGCGGAAGTTGCCTGACGTATCTTCTTGCGTTGTCACTGCGAAGGAAACCGAGACTAGAATTGTCCGGAGAGCCTACAAGCTGATTTCAAGAAATGGATGATATTAAGTGAAATCAGAAGGTAATTACGGTTTTTTCAGACAACTGAATCTTTTACCTCTGTGATAAGCCTAAGCTGATGAACATAATCTTTGCCTGGAAACAAAGGTTGTCCAGTCATGATTTCGCCGAGTATGCAACCGACAGACCAAATATCTATAGCTGCGGTGTACTCTGAGCAGTTAAGAAGCAACTCAGGAGCTCTGTACCAACGGGTAACGACGTATTCAGTCATGAAATCTGTGTCTGAAGTTGTTCTTGCAAGCCCAAAATCACCAATCTTTAGCTCGTGTTTCGAGTTAAGTAGCACGTTGCTTGGCCTTAGATCGCGATGTAATATGTTTGCCGAGTGCACGTATTTGAGTCCTCTTAATAACTGGTACACAAAGAACTGTAAAAGGAACAGAAGTGAATTGAATAAAGATCAAATCAGATCATTGGCTTTACTGATGATTATAACAATACAAAGAGACTTACGCGGCATTGATCATTGTTCAGCGGTTGGTTTGAACGGAGGATTCGCTGAAGATCAGTGTCCATTAACTCATAGACAATGTAGACATCGTTGAAGATATCTCGCTGTGGAGGCCTTACAATATCTTTGATGGTTATGACCTGAAGAATCAAACCGAGGCTTTAAGATCAGATCAATCAAGATCCAGAAGAAACTTGAGATGAAAATGATAATGTTTAAAGCTTACGTTCTCATGATCCATATGCCTGAGAAGCTTAATTTCACGTAGAGTTCTCTTAGCATCAATAATGTTATCGAACGCATTACCAATCTTCTTAATCGCTACTTTCTCTCCAGTCACTGAGTTCACCGCAGCACTAAAATTCAAGAATCAAGAGCCTATGAACATTCACAAGAAGAAGGCTTTGATGATTGATCAGAAGAAGAATCACAAAAGAACTTACCAGACAATACCGCAAGCGCCTCTACCAATGGGACGAATAGGAGGAACATACTTTCTGGATACTTCAAAAAGCTGTCCATAAACGTTGTACTGAACATAGCGACCACCGTGTGTCGGTACAACTTTGATGCAATGATCGGTAGAACCAGAGCTTGATTCTCCAGACATGATGCAATGACCAGAGAGAGATAGAGAGACCAAGAAGAAGGGGCTTTTGTTGAAGTTGAAGGATCTCTCTCTAAAGGGTCTCTTGAAGACACTAAATCCATGTGAAAAGAAAGAAGCTTTTTTCAACTGTAAAAGATCTCTCAAGTGACCCGTGAATCTAAAGAGCATGAAAGATTTACATACGTGTATGGTCACAAGAAGCAGAGTTAGTCAATAGCTTCAAGATTGCATTTTTCATTTGTTACTACTAATTGCACCTATCTATGAATCAAAAGCTTGTAACCATTTTTATCTGATTTGATTCTTTGATTTAAACTGATTCATAAACATTGGATCTCTTTTTCAAGCCAAACAGATGTATTATTATGTATTTATATTATATCGCAGAATTGATTTCAATACAGACAGACCAACACACATATACCAAAAATACAAAGCTCAAAAGATGGACTCAAGCAAACAAAAAGAGAAACACTTTCAGTGACCTAAAGCTGCCTTTTGTAAGGGTTAAACTTGTTAGTTTACCTCACTGTCTTAATCTACATCTTCTCCAGAGACTGAGTCACTTGACCTAAGATTACAGAGCAATACATCGCGCCCGCTTAAAGTCATTTTGAAGAAACTGTCAACTTCCTCCAGTAACTGATCTAACCCTTGAGACAATTTCTCAGCTTCTGTCTTCAATTCCATAGCAGAATCCTTAAAGGTGTCAGTTTCGACAGGATCAACGCCATCTTGGATCATCGGGTATAGCTTCTCGACACTAGCATCAACGCTCTCCAGCTCTTTGAGAATGGTGCTTCTACCGGAAGACAACATGTCTCTGATCTCAGCATTTACAAAACTTTGCATATCAGTGAAGACCTTTGCCCACAATGTTTTTTCAGAGACAGGTAAATCGAAAAGATCCTTGGTGGAATCAGACCAGGCCACGGTAAATACACTGCAGATATAAACCGTTTGAACCTTCACACCATAAAAAGCCCGCATAAGAACCTTTCCTTTAGGTGAGTTCTTGACTTTAGGCAAGCTCAGAGATTTAACAAGACTGTCTAGAACTGCACGGCAGTTGTCAATTCTAGGGTTGTTTGCATTAACATGTTGCCTCCAGCTATCAAGCGAAGACCGAGCCTGGAGATATTTCTCCCCTGAATCCGATTGTAAATGGTGCAGAACACACTTGAGGAAGAGATCTCCCTGGTTGAGACGTGTGAGCTCCGAGCTAAAAGCATTGCAGAGATCTAGTAACTTAACGCTTATGTCGAGGTAAACATCAACCCATTTCTCTTCCCAATCAGAGACAGGAAGCTGAAGATCAGTGATGAGTGTGTTTATGTTCTTATGAGTCTCGCAGAGTGACTCCATAGCTAGCTTCATCCAAGACAAAGTGAGAATGTCATCTTTGTTCTTAGGCATAAGTTTCTTTAGTCTCTCTTCCAAAAGTAGCTCAAACCCTTTAAGCAGATCAAGTAGCCATGGCGATAAATCCGAACCCTTTGGCGATAACATCCGAAATGGATTTCCAAATGGGAAGAAACCTCGTGGTGGATCCTGTGGTCGGCTCATTTTGCTATACACAGAAAAAATGAAAGAATCATTGAGTAAATTAATCGTATAAACTAATTTGATTCCAATTCAAGGTACCATATGAGTTCTTGCTACACAAAAGGCCTTAAGAGTCTTAAAAAGCTGACAACTTTTTAGATCTTGATGCAGAAACAAAAAAAGATTCTACTTTTATTCAAAATCCACAAGGAAACAAACA